ACTGACTCTGACACTGACTCTGACTCTGACTCTGACTCTGACTCTGACTCTGACCTCTGACTCTGACACTGACACTGACACTGACACTGACACTGACTCTGACTCCGACCCTGACTCTGACTCTGACTCTGACCCTGACTCTGACACTGACACTGACTCTGACTCCGACCCTAACCCTGACTCTGACACTGACTCTGACTCTGACCCTGACCCTGACCCTGACTCTGACTCTGACTCTGACTCCGACCCTGACTCTGACTCTGACTCTGACCCTGACTCCGACCCTAACCCTGACTCTGACACTGACACTGACTCTGACTCTGACTCTGACTCTGACACTGACTCTGACTCTGACACTGACTCTGACTCTGACTCTGACTCTGACACTGACTCTGACTCTGACTCTGACTCTGACTCTGACCTTTTTTCACTTTTTCCAGCTGCCGTGGCCATTTTGAAACTGCCCATAGCACATTAGTCAGAACAGCGGAGAAAGTTCATGTTTACAGTCTGTGGCAGAAACAGACGGTAAAGATGGCCGACTCTGATTCCTTTTGATTCACAGTAAACTCAGAGTCATCCCAGACACCGTTTGTGTCACACTCACCACTCACCATAAAGCATCCAGAATTTCACTCTGAACCAGAGCAGAGAAAATGGTCCGACCCAAACAATACAATACAATACAATTTATTCTTGTATAGCCCTAGGTCACAACAGAAGTCATCTCAGAGACTTAACAAAACCATTGAAATCACCAACACAGGTCAGAGAATCAACAGTTAAAACACATGAAGAATATAAAGCACACACAGAAGAAAATGTCCATACATGTTGTAGAATGCTAAAGTGTCCTGATCATCACCAATCCTTTCTGTTGGACACTAACTGTCCAACAAGACCCTCCTGCATCGACAAGGAACAACTGTTTCTCTCAAACAGACAAAGTATCTATCTGTGTGCTCCTGGTGTTTACAGTGTAATCTTGTAAATCCAAGTATAAGCCTTTAAGGAGCGACCAATCAGATACCTTCATTCACAAGACTTAACATGTTAGCAACAAGTTAGCATGCCCCTGCTACAGCGCATAGGTAACCCCGTCTCCATCCAGATATACTCTGTTACTGCAGGGAAAGAGAAACTGTTTAACCAATGTAGAGATAGTTTTAGAGCGGCGGGCTTTAGGACCATGAATCACGTTAAGAAGTATTTCCTATCTATGGTTCCCCTGTGGTTGTTTATCCTCCCCCCTCCTCCCCCCTCCTCCCCCCTTCTCTCCCCTTCTCTCCCTTCCCCCAGACTCAGGTCTCCATGTTTCTCCTCTCACACAAACCTACACATTATGTTTGTGTGCAGTATGGAGAGGGTTCAAAGCCCATGGGAAAATACCCGGGTTTTAATTCAACTTCTCCTGAAAAACAGAATCTCTTTCTCTTTCATAAAACAGGAACCGAGGAGCTTATAATTAGCAGTTTGTTTGCCAAAGTCAATTTCTCTCAAACCAAATGGAAACTCGTAAAGAGAGAAGAGAGAGAGAGGAGGGAGGAAGAGAGGGAGAGAGAGAGAGGGAGAGAAGGAAAATAGTTTGCAGAATCTCTGGTCTCTCTCTCTGGTCTCTCTCTCTCTGGTCTCTCTCTCTCTGGTCTCTCTCTCTGGTCTCTCTCTCTGGTCTCTCTCTCTGGTCTCTCTCTCTGGTCTCTCCCTCTGGTCTCTCTCTCTGGTCTCTCTCTCTGGTCTCTCTCTGGTCTCTCTCTCTCTGGCCTCTCCCTCTGGTCTCTCTCTCTGGTCTCTCTCTCTGGTCTCTCTCTCTGGTCTCTCCCTCTGGTCTCTCCCTCTGGTCTCTCTCTCTGGTCTCTCCCTCTGGTCTCTCCCTCTGGTCTCTCCCTCTGGTCTCTCCCTCTGGTCTCTCTCTCTGGTCTCTCTCTGGTCTCTCCCTCTGGTCTCCCTCTGGTCTCTCTCTGGTCTCTCTCTGGTCTCTCTCTCTGGTCTCTCCCTCTGGTCTCTCTCTGGTCTCTCTCTGGTCTCTCTCTGGTCTCTCCCTCTGGTCTCTCTCTGGTCTCTCTCTCTGGTCTCTCTCTCTGGTCTCTCCCTCTGGTCTCTCTCTGGTCTCTCCCTCTGGTCTCTCCCTCTGGTCTCTCCCTCTGGTCTCTCTCTCTGGTCTCTCCCTCTGGTCTCTCTCTCTGGTCTCTCTCTCTGGTCTCTCTCTGGTCTCCCTCTGGTCTCTCCCTCTGGTCTCTCCCTCTGGTCTCTCTCTCTGGTCTCTCTCTGGTCTCCCTCTGGTCTCTCCCTCTGGTCTCTCTCTGGTCTCTCTCTCTGGTCTCTCTCTGGTCTCTCTCTCTGGTCTCTCTCTCTGGTCTCTCCCTCTGGTCTCTCTCTGGTCTCTCTCTGGTCTCTCTCTGGTCTCTCTCTGGTCTCCCTCTGGTCTCTCCCTCTGGTCTCTCTCTGGTCTCTCTCTCTGGTCTCTCTCTGGTCTCTCTCTCTGGTCTCTCTCTCTGGTCTCTCCCTCTGGTCTCTCTCTGGTCTCTCCCTCTGGTCTCTCCCTCTGGTCTCTCCCTCTGGTTCATCAGATCACTGGTTTCTCCTGTGAATGATGGAGCTCAGGGGCCCGGCAGGTCATCTGGACAATATTTCATTAGAGAGAGGCCCCGCTGAGGGAGGGGGGGTGAGGGAGGGGGGAGTGTAATGGAGGGCCCCAGAGACAGGAGCCGGTGTGGAGGGGGAGGTGACATGTTTGCAAAACTTTTTCATTTCACTTTTTTCTGGTCTCTCACTCTCCTCTGCACTCTCTCCTCAGTCCTCTCTCTCTCTGTACTCTCTCCTCTGTACTCTCTCCTCAGTCCTCTCTCTCTCTGTACTCTTTCCTCTGTACTCTCTCCTCTGCACTCTCTCCTCAGTCCTCTCTCCTCTGCACTCTCTCTCTCTGCACTCTCTCCTCTGCACTCTCTCCTCTGCACTCTCTCCTCAGTCCTCTCTCCTCTGCACTCTCTCTCTCTGCACTCTCTCTCTCTGTACTCTCTCCTCTGCACTCTCTCCTCAGTCCTCTCTCTCTCTCTGTACTCTCTCCTCTGCACTCTCTCCTCTGCACTCTCTCCTCAGTCCTCTCTCCTCTGCACTCTCTCCTCTGCACTCTCTCCTCTGCACTCTCTCCTCTGCACTCTCTCCTCTGCACTCTCTCCTCTGCACTCTCTCCTCTGCACTCTCTCCTCTGTCCTCTCTCCTCTGCACTCTCTCCTCTGCACTCTCTCCTCTGCACTCTCTCCTCTGTCCTCTCTCCTCTGCACTCTCTCTCTCTGCACTCTCTCCTCTGTCCTCTCTCCTCTGCACTCTCTCCTCAGTCCTCTCTCTCTCTGTACTCTCTCCTCTGCACTCTCTCCTCATACAGAGTGCTGTAGTTCATATTCCCTTCTCCTCATTCATTCTCTGAGTGCGAGGCAGCCCTGGACTTTCCCCTGGGGCCCTCCTCCTCCGGTCTCTCTCTGGTCTCTCTCTCTGGTCTCTCTCTAGTCTCTCTCTGGTCTCTCTCTGGTCTCTCTCTGGTCTCTCTCTGGTCTATCTCTGGTCTCTCTCTGGTCTCTCTCTGGTCTCTCTCTCTGGTCTCTCTCTCTGGTCTCTCTCTGGTCTCTCTCTCTGGTCTCTCTCTGGTCTCTCTCTGGTCTCTCTCTCTGGTCTCTCTCTGGCCTCTCTCTGGTCTCTCTCTGGTCTCTCTCTGGTCTCTCTCTCTGGTCTCTCTCTGGTCTCTCTCTGGTCTCTCTCTCTGGTCTCTCTCTCTGGTCTCTCTCTCTGGTCTCTCTCTCTGGTCTCTCTCTGGTCTCTCTCTGGTCTCTCTCTGGTCTCTCTCTGGTCTCTCTCTGGTCTCTCTCTGGTCTCTCTCTGGTCTCTCTCTGGTCTCTCTCTGGTCTCTCTCTGGTCTCTCTCTGGTCTCTCTCTGGTCTCTCTCTGGTCTCTCTCTCTGGTCTCTCTCTCTGGTCTCTCTCTCTGGTCTCTCTCTCTGGTCTCTCTCTGGTCTCTCTCTGGTCTCTCTCTGGTCTCTCTCTGGTCTCTCTCTGGTCTCTCTCTGGTCTCTCTCTGGTCTCTCTCTGGTCTCTCTCTCTGGTCTCTCTCTGGTCTCTCTCTGGTCTCTCTCTGGTCTCTCTCTGGTCTCTCTCTGGTCTCTCTCTGGTCTCTCTCTGGTCCACAGGGAAAGTTCAGTGTTGCCTCGCACTAACACGTTTCTAAACTTTCACCTTTTCTCGTGTTTTCAGCTCAAATATAATTCTTACTTTGTTACTTCCTGTTTCTAAAAAAAGGGACAAAAATGATTCTGACAAAAGAGAATTTTAGACTGAAAATAATATTAATTAAAAATAATAATAATAATAATAAAAAAACGAATAATCTCTGCGATTTAGACACAAACGTTTACAAATGTAACAGACTTAGAAGCACGGCTAACCACTTCAGTCAGGTTATAATAACTTAGAAGCACGGTTAACCACTTCAGTCAGGTTATGATAACTTAGAAGCACGGCTAACCAGACCAGTGCATGTGGACGGCCCAGAGCAGTCACAGACACGGTGTTTTTATCATTAGAGTGTAAACGCTCTGATTTTCTGATCTGTTGTTGGAGAATCGACAACTTTCTAAAGTCCTCAGAGATAAAAAACTGCTGTGATTTTGGGCGATACACAAATAAACTGAACCTGAACCTGAGCCACGACTGAAAATCTTAAAATCTAAAACTTTTCCTCAGAGCGAGGACAGAGTCAGATCTAAAGCTCTGTACCTGCTGCTGCAACACTGGCATTTCCCTCACTGTCGAGTAAAAGCACTTTAATCGTAATCGTAATCGTACCTTTGGTGAGCAGGATGGCCACGGCGCACAGTTCCAGCTGCAGCCAGAGCGACGCGAACCCGGACTGTCGCTCCATGGATGGACCAGCCCCAGACCATGGATCAGTCCCGGACCATGGATCAGTCCTGGACCATGGATCAGTCCTGGACCATGGACCAGTCCCAGACCATGGATCAGTCCTGGGACACCGCCATTCCTCCAGAAACGTGTCCGAAAAACACCCACCGCGCTCCCGCAGACTCCGCGTCAGACCCGGGGCCGGAGCCAACACTTTTACGCACCACTTTTTTTTGTTTTTACGCGAAGACGGAGAAGCAGCAGAGATGCGGAGTAATCCAACTGCGGCTGCGGAGTCCGGGCCTCGGTGTCGGGCTGCGGTGTGAGCCGGAGCCTGGTGAAGGAGCGGTACATCCACAGTCACGACAGAGTTTGGAGGAAAAGAGGCCGAAAGAGGAGAAGGAGGAGGAGGAGGAGAAGGAGGAGGAGGAGGAGAGCGGCAGGAGAGGACTGAGGGCTCAGGAGCGGAGCAGGGGAATAGTTGTGGTCAGAGAGACGCCCTCCTCCCCCTCGGCCCTCCCCCTCCGCTCCGCTCCTCCCCCTCGGCCCTCCCCCTCCGCTCCGCTCCTCCCCCTCGGCCCTCCCCTCGGTCCTCCCCCTCGGCCCTCCCCCTCGGCCCTCCCCTCGGTCCTCCCCCTCGGCCCTCCCCCTCCCCCTCGGCCCTCCCCCTCCGCTCCGCTCCTCCCCCTCTCCCTCATTGGGCAGAGACGCGGGGAAAGGCCACAGACCGAGTCCAGTCCAGGTCCGGGAGTCTCACCAAAACAAAAGTACAAATAAAAACTAAATTAAAAACTTGTTTCTTTACGTTTGAGAAGTTTTTATGAAGAAACACAAGTGTAAAGAAGTCCGTTTTTTAATAAAACTAGTTTATTTACACTTATTTTACAATAAGAACCTTCTGATTTATCACAACATCTATCGGCCTCCCTGGGCTGAGAGCTGATTGGCTGAGAGCTGATTGGCTGATAGCTGATTGGCTGAGAGCTGATTGGCTGAGAGCTGATTGGCTGAGAGCTGATTGGCTGAGGGTGGGGTCCTCTTTGATCTGTGGATGTGACGTAGATCAAACATGATGTGAGAGAAGCCGCTGTTTTCAGAGAAATGTTTTTTAGAAGTAGCCCAGAGAATGTAAGTAGTAGTAAGTAAGTAATTATTTATATACCGCCTTTTCACTGCAGATCTGAGTCTCAAAGCGGTTTACATTTGTTAATTTTGGGCATTTGTCTCTCACTCCACACAGAGATGGGAGGGGCCAGTACAGGAGGCACATGCCAGAACTATTGTACATGTTTTTAGTGGTAGGGGAAACCGGAGTACCCGGAGGAAACCTACGCAGACACGGGGAGAACATGCAAACTCCACTCAGAAAGGCCCTGGTCCGACCGGGATTCGAACCCAGGACCTTCTTGCTGAGAGGCGAGAGTGCTATCCACTCAGCCACCGTACCGCGTCCCACCTGTTGAGAACCGCAGCTTTAGGGTCTGACTCTGATTCTTATTTTGGAGGCACTTCCGGTCTGTCCTCAGCACGTGCTTCACGCTCCGCCGCAAGTCTGTTTCATTCATATCTTTCTACCGTTCATACAGAGACACACACACACACACAGACACTGATACACAAACACACACACAGACACTGATACACAAACACACAAACACACACACACACACAGACACTGATACACAAACACACACACAGACACTGATACACAAACACACAAACACACACACACACACAGACACTGATACACAAACACACACACACACACAGACACTGATACACAAACACACACACACACAGACACTGATACACAAACACACACACACACACAGACACTGATACACAAACACACACACACACAGACACTGATACACAAACACACACACACACAAACACTGATACACAAACACACACAGACACTGATACACAAACACACACACACACTGATACACACACACACACATACATACACTGATACACAAACACACACACACACAGACATACACTGATACACAAACACACACACACATACATACACTGATACACACACACAGACATACACTGATACACAAACACACACACATACACTGATACACAGACACACACAGACATACACTGATACACAAACACACACACATACACTGATACACAGACACACACAGACATACACTGATACACAAACACACACAAACATACACTGATACGCACATACACACACACACACACACAGACATACACTGATACACAAACACACATACACTGATACACACATGCACACACACACACACAGACATACACTGATACACAAACACGCATACATACAGACATACACACTGATACACAAACACACACAGACATACACTGATACACAGACACACACACTGATACACAAACACACACACATTGATACACAAACACACACATACATACACTGATACACAAACACACACAGACATACACTGATACACAAACACACACATACATACACTGATACACAAACACACACAGACATACACTGATACACAAACACACACAGACATACACTGATACACAAACACACACATACATACACTGATACACAAACACACACAGACATACACTGATACACAAACACACACAGACATACACTGATACACAAACACACACATACATACACTGATACACAAACACACACAGACATACACTGATACACAAACACACACAGACATACACTGATACACAAACACACACATACATACACTGATACACAAACACACACAGACATACACTGATACACAAACACACACAGACATACACTGATACACAAACACACACAGACATACACTGATACACAAACACACACAGACATACACTGATACACAAACACACACAGACATACACTGATACACAAACACACACAGACATACACTGATACACAAACACACACAGACATACACTGATACACAAACACACACAGACATACACTGATACACAAACACACACAGACATACACTGATACACAAACACACACAGACATACACTGATACACAAACACACACAGACATACACTGATACACAAACACACACATACATACACTGATACACAAACACACACAGACATACACTGATACACAAACACACACAGACATACACTGATACACAAACACACACAGACATACACTGATACACAAACACACACAGACATACACTGATACACAAACACACACAGACATACACTGATACACAAACACACACAGACATACACTGATACACAAACACACACAGACATACACTGATACACAAACACACACAGACATACACTGATACAGACACAGAGGCACAGACACACACACACACACACACACACATGCAGATGTCTCTACACAGACCCTTTTGTAGACTGCATGAGACTATAGACCAGACCAGACTAGACCAGACCAGACCAGACCAGACTAGACCAGACCAGACCAGACCAGATGAACCTTCCCTGTCAGAGTCCTGGGGCAGAGACTAATGGTCAGATAATTACTGTGGACACGACACAGACAGACGGGAGACAGGAAGTGGACTCATGACCTAAGGCCAGGACCAGGACCAGGACCAGTTTCTCAGTTTGAAACCAGAAAAAATATTAAAAATTAAAATCTATAGTTCCATAGATTGATTCTATCACTAGTTTTAACCTGCAGGTATTTGTGGTCATATTTTTTGTCTCCCTGGTCTCTCTCTGGTCTCTCCCTGGTCTCTCTCTCTGGTCTCTCCCTGGTCTCTCTCTCTGGTCTCTCTCTGGTCTCTCTCTCTGGTCTCTCTCTGGTCTCTCTCTGGTCTCTCTCTCTGGTCTCTCTCTCTGGTCTCTCTCTGGTCTCTCTCTCTGGTCTCTCTCTCTGGTCTCTCTCTGGTCTCCCTCTGGTCTCTCTCTGGTCTCTCTCTCTGGTCTCCCTCTGGTCTCTCTCTCTGGTCTCTCTCTGGTCTCTCTCTCTGGTCTCTCTCTGGTCTCTCTCTGGTCTTCCTCTGGTCTCTCCCTGGTCTCCCTCTGGTCTCTCTCTGGTCTCTCTCTGGTCTCTCTCTGGTCTCTCTCTCTGGTCTCTCTCTGGTCTCTCTCTCTGGTCTCGCTCTGGTCTCTCCCTGGTCTCCCTCTGGTCTCTCTCTGGTCTCTCTCTGGTCTCTCTCTCTGGTCTCTCTCTGGTCTCTCCCTGGTCTCTCTCTGGTCTCTCTCTCTGGTCTCTCTCTGGTCTCTCTCTCTCTGGTCTCTCTCTCTCTCTGGTCTCCCTCTGGTCTCTCTCTGGTCTCCCTCTGGTCTCTCTCTCTGGTCTCTCTCTCTGGTCTCTCTCTGGTCTCTCTCTGGTCTCTCTCTCTGGTCTCCCTCTGGTCTCTCCCTGGTCTCCCTCTGGTCTCTCTCTCTGGTCTCTCTCTGGTCTCTCCCTGGTCTCTCTCTGGTCTCTCTCTCTGGTCTCTCCCTCTGGTCTCTCTCCCTGGTCTCTCCCTGGTCTCTCTCTGGTCTCTCCCTGGTCTCTCTCTCTGGTCTCTCCCTGGTCTCTCTCTGGTCTCTCCCTGGTCTCTCTCTGGTCTCTCTCTGGTCTCTCTCTCTGGTCTCTCTCTGGTCTCTCTCTGGTCTCTCTCTCTGGTCTCTCTCTCTGGTCTCTCCCTGGTCTCTCTCTCTGGTCTCTCTCTGGTCTCTCTCTCTGGTCTCTCTCTGGTCTCTCTCTGGTCTCTCTCTCTGGTCTCTCTCTCTGGTCTCTCTCCCTGGTCTCTCTCTCTGGTCTCTCTCTCTGGTCTCTCTCTCTGGTCTCTCTCTCTGGTCTCTCTCTCTGGTCTCTCTCTGGTTCTCTCTCTCTTCTCTCTCTCCTGGTCTCTCTCTGGTCTCTCTCTGGTCTCTCTCCTGGTCTCTCTCTGGTCTCTCTCTGGTCTCTCTCTGGTCTCTCTCCTGGTCTCTCTCTGGTCTCTCTCTCTGGTCTCTCTCTCTGGTCTCTCTCTGGTCTCTCTCTGGTCTCTCTCTGGTCTCTCTCTGGTCTCTCTCTCTGGTCTCTCTCTCTGGTCTCTCTGGTCTCTCTCTCTGGTCTCTCTCTCTGGTCTCTCTCTGGTCTCTCTCTGGTCTCTCTCTCTGGTCTCTCTCTCTGGTCTCTCTCTGGTCTCTCTCCCTGGTCTCTCCCTGGTCTCTCTCTGGTCTCTCTCTGGTCTCTCCCTGGTCTCTCTCTCTGGTCTCTCTCTGGTCTCTCTCTGGTCTCTCTCTGGTCTCTCTCTGGTCTCTCTCTCTGGTCTCTCCCTGGTCTCTCTCTCTGGTCTCTCTCTCTGGTCTCTCTCTGGTCTCTCCCTGGTCTCTCTCTCTGGTCTCTCTCTCTGGTCTCTCCCTGGTCTCTCTCTCTGGTCTCTCTCTCTGGTCTCTCCCTGGTCTCTCTCTGGTCTCTCCCTGGTCTCTCTCTGGTCTCTCTCTGGTCTCTCTCTCTGGTCTCTCCCTGGTCTCTCTCTCTGGTCTCTCTCTCTGGTCTCTCTCTCTGGTCTCTCCCTGGTCTCTCTCTGGCTCAGTGTTTTCATGCTGGGAGTGTCTCGTCTGCAGACAGACGTCACAGGAGTGAGGTGTGACCAGAGACACAGGCTTTACATAACACAAGACTCCCCCCCTCCACCCTCCACCCCCAGTCTCACCCCCCTCTCTCTCTCAGGGCAAATGGTTCAGACACCACTGGGATTAAAGCTGAGGTACCTGACTTTTGTCCCAACAGAAAGTCTTGTGGGAGAGAGACCAGGGCGAGACCAGAGAGAGAGACCAGAGAGAGAGACCAGAGACAGACCAGCGAGAA